GGAGGAGGCCCAAGGGAACCAGGGTCACAGACCAGCCCCAAATCCAAAGACCCGTCTCAGAGGCCTCGGTTTCCCCTGCAGAGCCAGTACACCCTATACCTGAGCAGGCAACAACTGATAATATTAGCAGGACTGCCTTTCACATATGAACTTCTTTAATCCCTTCCAACCACCTTCTGATACCCCTGCCTCTGTCATTTGCTCATGGAAGCCCTCCCCGACTTCCCCGTTACAACCTCCCACGGCCCAAGTTCCAGTCCTTCCTAGGTTTTGTCCTAGGGTCTGATGGTTTATAAACACCTTTCTCAGGGGCTAGACTGAGGGCATGAGAGCAGGATCCTGGCCTGGGAAACTCATTGCTTCATCCCCAGTGCTTGGTATCTGGCACCCTGCCTGGCACTCTGTCAGCAACTAATGTTTATTGGACACTTAGCAAGAGTGGGTACTGTTCTGAGCATTTTAATTTTATTCACTCTTTAAAGCCTCAGCATCTCTTCAAAGTTGTTCCTATTGCTCTCCCTATTTCGCTGATGAGGAAACTGAGGCATGGAGAGGCGAAATGGCCCAGGCTCACATGACAAATGAGTGGTTAGAGCCTGGATTTGAACCCAGGCAGTCTGGTCCCAGTCACCTTTAACCACCACACCTCAATAAAATAAGTCATTGAATTCGGAAGCACTGTTATGATTTTGACTCTGCAGATGAAAATGCTCAGGCTCAGAGATGTGAAGTGACTTGCCAGAGATCACACTGCTATTATTAGGGCAGGGGACATAGGGGTCTGAGGCCTGGGATGGGGGTGGGGAACAGGGGTGTATGACTTGGGAATAGGGGAGAGGGGCTCATTAAAAGAGACCCTGTGTCAGAGAGGATGTAATAAGTGCTTGGGAAAGGAAGCTTTCTTCACTCCTCTGCCTATCCCTGGCCCTCAGTTTCCTGATCTATAAAATGGGGGTAATCCTAGTGCCAGGCCATTCAGACAGTGCTGATGGTCAAATCCCCAGAGGAGGGGGCAAGGGCATTCTAAATTGTAAGGAGGTGGACAGACGTGAGGAGCTGCGGGCTGGACTGTCTTCTGGATCCCAGTCGGCCTGAGCTAGGCCAGAGAAGCCTTGAGTAAGCAGATACCAAGTACCCAGTGTCTGCAGGAGGGAGAGACAGCGGGGAGGAGACAGGGCCACTCTGGGTGATGGGGGAGGCCACAACTCTCAGACTTAACGATGGGAGGTTCCTAAGGGCTGGACCCTGGAAAGCAAAGATGGTGGTGAGAACAGGCAGGGCCTGGACCCCAGCCTGCCAGCCCTTTACCTCCTCATATGCAGCCTTTTCTCCCCTTTCCCACAGTCAGACCCTTGAGAGCTAAATCAGGGTTTACCTCTTCAGAGCCCAGAGCACGCAGTGAATCCTCAGTAGATCTTACTTAGTGAAACTTATTATTCAGCACAGCATGTTCCCTTCGTTATTAGCTTTTTTTTTTTCTTTTGCCACATCTTTATGAGGTGGGGCTTTACCCCTGCCCTTTTGGTAAAGAGGAACCTAAGGCCCAGAGAGGTTTTCCTGGCTTCTCTCAAGTCACACTGCAGAACAGTAGGAAGGCAGCAAGGAAAACGCCAGTTCCTGAAGCCACATCACCTGCCCATCCTGCTGTCCACAGCTCTCTGGGGAGCAGTGCCCAGTGTCCTCACCTCTCCACCCCTCCCCCTGCCCTGGCCCTGGTGGACACCTGATGCTCCCCCGAAAGGTGCACCTTGCCCAGTCCCCTCTCCTGGCCCCAGGCCTGGCACTTGAGGCCCTAGATCTGATTACAGGCCCCCCCACCCCCTCTCAAGCACACACAACTCCCCACATTGTTGCTGTCGGAAAGTTATCTGGCCCCTGGAAGCTGCCTCCAAGGCTGACTCACTCACCTGGATTGGGCCCTGGAGTCCAGGGACTAGCTAGGCCCTGGGAAAAAGCAGAAGCCCATTCTGAGGCCATATAAAAGGCATGGCCAGGGGGTCACAGATTGGGAGTGGGAGCTGAAGGAGTGGGATTTTCAAGGCTGGGAAGGGGACTTGGCTACCTGAGCACGCATCCATCTGTCTCCCATTACATCCCCCAAGCAATGCCCACTCTCAGATGGGCCAGCTGAGAAATCTGCAGACAGGACTTGTTCCCACCCTGACTCAGCAGGCAACCCCTACAGGCCCAGCCGGTTGGAGGGATGGGGAGGGGGATCTCTGGTGCCAGAGAAGATGACTGGGCAGTCTCAGAGAGCCCTGAGCATCCGTGAGAGCTGGCGCCCTAACTCTACCTCACTGCTGGCCTGGACCCCACTGGACACCAGGCCACCCAGATGAAGACAGCCCCTCCAGACCAGGGAGCCCAGAATGAAGGCTGGGATGGAATGGGGAGAGCCCCATAACCCCAAGAAATCCATGGGGACTTAAGCAGCTCACCGGCCAGAGCTAACAAATGGAAGTTGATGGAAGAAAAAGACTTCCAAGTTTCCTCCATCCCAGATGCTTCCCAGACCCACCCCGATAGACCCTCAGGAAGCTGGGAGGCAGGAACATGGGATTACTCCTACGCTATTTCCTGGGTAAATGGGACCCAGGAGCCCTCCCTCCCTGCCTGTCATCTCTCGAGATACCAGAGAACTATGCTCTTTTGAGACTGTCGCACGGGCTTTGCTTGGGTGAAAGTTTGCGGCGCTGGGTCTGGGGTGGGGATTCTCTCTGATCCCCCCTCTCTGTAGCACTCGCCCGCCTGCCCCGGTCTCCCCTCCCGGGCTAAGCGAATGGGTCCGGGGTCCGGGGTCCGGGCGGCTGCGGCTACCTGGGTCACCGTCTCCGTCCATCGCTGCGGAGGGCGGTCGCGAGAGGAGGAGGAGGAGGAGGAGCCGGAGCGCTGCGGGGCTGCCCAAGGCCGGAGGCAGCGACGAGTCCAGGTGCTGCCCGCGTCTGGGTCGGTCCGGCCCGCCGCGCCTCTTAAAGGCCCGGGCCTCCGCCCCCGCCCCGCCTTTGGCCCCGCGCCGGGACGCCCCGCAGTCCCTAGCACTGGGCCCGAGGCCTGAGGCTGCAGGTTCCTCGGCGGACCCAGGAAGCCCGGAAAGGTCAGGAATCCTTTTTTTTTTTTTTTTAATGGGGGGGTCCAATTAGAGGCGTCTCCCAGCTCCCTCCTGGAGTGGCTGCTGGGAGGAGGAGGCGAGGGGGCAGGGAAGTCTGGGTCATGCGGAGGATGTGGGGAGCGCGGCCCAGTCGCGGGGGACAGAGGCTCCTCCCGGCACCAAACCCCCCCACCCCCACCCCCTGGGTAATTTTCCTACTTTGCGGCGGGGGGCGCGTCCCAGGCCCTGCGCGCCCGGACGCGGTGCGGGGAGGGGAGCGGAGGCGGGGGCGGGGCGGGGCCTGGCGGGTGGAGGCGGGGCCGCATCCATCCGCGGTCTCTGGCGGAGACCAGCTCTGCGCTGGAGGCCAAGCAGTATCGCGCAGCGACGGCTAAGCTCAGGTGACCTGCCGGAGTAGGCGCGGGGAGCGCCGCGACCAGGGCGCGGGCCGGCGGGGGTCTGGCGGGCGGACCCCAGGGCTCTCGGCCCCGCCACAGTGCGCGGAGGGAGGCTCGGCGCAGACAAGCCCCAGGCCGCGGGGGCTGCGCGGTAGGGTCTCCTGCGGCGGCGCGGGCGGAAACCCGGGCTGGGGTCGCCCTGGATGCGCAGGATTCCGAGCCCCGACTTTGGGGGACATTTTAAAGTCAACGCAGGATGGGAGGCCGAAGACGCACAGGGGAACGTGGGGCTGGAGCCCTGCCACAGTGATGGGGGTGGGGTATAAGAAAGGCCTTTCCTTATCGCCCACCCCCTTTTCCAGTCCCAGCTAGGCAGATGATTTCCTCTACAGTCCTGAGAAAGTCGCTTGAGCCCTTTGGACCTCCATCGGAGACAGTAATTACCCCTGCCCCCAACATCCCCCCTCCTCCTTTATGAGGCTGGGAGGGAATGGAGAAGGCTCCGTACAGGCTGGAGCGCTCTGCGGGGCTGCACATTGTTAGTTCCACTCTTAAGACTTTCTGGCCTGTTGATAAAGGCTGACTCTAGAATCAGAGCAGACTGGGGCTCCTTCTCCGCTCTGCTCCTGTCTGTGTGACCTTGGACAGAGTCTGCCACCTCCCTGGGCCTCCCTAGCTTCTGTTAAGAGATTGCTGTGAGGGGCCAGTAAAAAAGATAAATAAATAAAATCATAGCTCACCTTTTAAGAGCTGCTGCTATGTCACAGGCCCCTTGAACCCTCCCCAGGAGGTAAGTACTGCTCCTGACCCCATTTTACAGAGAAGGAAACTGAGGCTCAGAAAGGCACAGTAACTTTCCTGAGACAGTAAATGGCAGACCTGGGGTGGGAACTTCCACCACCATGGGGTGCTGCAGATACCAGGCCCTGGGAAGAGGACCAGGTCTATAACCTAGCTTTTCAATGGTCACAGGAGAGTGTCCAGAAGCCTGGAGCGATGGCGGTGGAGAACATCAACGAGCTGCCTGAGACCATCCTGCTGGAGCTGTTCACGCATGTGCCCGCTCGCCAACTGCTGCTGCACTGTCGCCTAGTCTGCAGCCTCTGGCGAGACCTCATCGACCTCGTGACCCTCTGGAAGCGCAAATGCCTGCGGGAGGGCTTCATCACTGAGGACTGGGACCAGCCTGTGGCCGACTGGAAGATCTTCTACTTCCTGCGAAGCCTCCATAGGAACCTCCTGCACAACCCGTGTGCTGAAGGTGAAGTACAGAGTGGGTCGGGCGTGCCCTCAACACACACACACTGTCAAGAGGCCAGCTAACATTTATCAAGCACTTACTAGGAGCCAGGCAGGTTGGATGGTTTGATTACTTGTTGTTGTTGTTGTTGCACACAAGCTCCCTGATGTTAAAGATGCAGGGTCAAGGGCTGGCAGGTTAAGATGAGGCTACTCCTCAGTTGTCCTTTTTATCATAGGCGCCAATACCCTTGTAGCCACTCACATAGCCTGAGTTGTCGGTCACCTCTTCCTGTCCTGTGATGCCTTGGCCCTTGCCACTCTTGTCAGAGCACTCCTTGTGGGTGCCAGTGTACTTGCTGGTGTCTGTCCTGTCAGCCGGCTCGCCCCGCCCATAGTCATTGCTTTAGTAACACCAGTGGTAGCTGGATCCTTGCCCTCCACGTGTTCATAAATGTTCTCCAGGGCTTCATCCGGGTTCTTCCCCTTGAACCGCTTCTGGCCCAATCCCATCACTGCCTCCTGGAACTGTTGAAATGTGATGGCTCGGGCATTCTTGGCCTTGACTTTGCCGAACATGATGTCCACATCAGTGGAGGCGACTGTCTTGCCATCCATGATGCCACAGTCTTTGCACAGCTTGGAGAAGTTCTTGTTCGTTTCAGTGCCCTTGCTTGATGACGCTCCGAAGACAGCAAACCGCTGGCATGTTTTTTCTGCTTCTGATGCCATGGTCATCTGGAGGTGGGGGAGGACAGTAGGGATGGAGACTCGAGGGTGAGGCGGGGGGAAGGGAGGACAGGACCCTGGGCGTCCCAGAGTTGGAACTCCTGCTCCCTCAACACCCCCGTCACTCCCCTGGTTTAACCCCCTTAATCCTCTCACAATAATCCTAAAAGGTATGTACTGGTAGTGCATCCATTTTTCAGATAAGCAAACTGAGGCCACTCTTAAGATTATTTCCCCAGTGACCTTTTCTAGAAGAGGGAATGTTGACCAGTTAGAACTAACTATGCCCCAGACACAAGACCAGGAAGTCAGCCGTATTTTGTTGGCCTCATTCCCAGCTCCAGGACTAGGCCTCCTGAGACTGTCTCAGAGGTCAAAGGAGGCTTTGCGTATGGACCAGTGAGAGAGACAGTTCTCTCTGCAGCACATTACAACAAGTAAATCAAGACTTCTACAGTCATCCAGAGCCCCCTTTTTCCCTTACTATGTTATCACTCATCAGCTAGACACTGGGATGGGAAGGGAACCTAATTCTCCATTATGTGGCCAAATTCTGGAGCAAAATGATGATAAAACAACTCCAAGCTGTCCACAGCTCTCTGATGCCTGCCTCACTTGACTCCCCAAGAGCCATGTTCTTGACCAGCAGTTGGCACATTATGGTCCATGAGCCACATCTGGCCCCCCAGTAGCTAAGAGTAGTTTTTACAGTTTTAAAGCCTTAAAAAAAAAAAAAAAAGAAGAAGACTGTGATAGAGACAGTATGCAGCCCACAAAACCTAAAATATGTTGGCCCTTTACAGAAAAAGTTTGCCAGTCCCTGTTCTTCATCCCAGTTTTCAGAGGACAAAACCGAGGTTCAGAGAGGGAAAGCAGCTTGCCTAAGGTCACACAGCCCAGCACTGGTAGAGCTCGGACTAGCCCCAGATCTGGCCAGCAACAGCATTCTGTATCACAGAAGGGGTCTGGTTGTTCATATCATTACATGTCTCTGGATTCCCAGTAGAAGTCACTTACCATGTGCCAGGCACATAGAAAGCACCTAATAAAATATGGGCACTATTGATCTGCAGTGTGCCACAGCACAGGGCTTGAGGGCAACTGCCAAGGTCTAGGGAGAAGAGGTGGGAGGAAGGGCTCCTTGGGAGAGGGTGACTCCTGAGAGGCTTCACTTTAATGTGAACTCTGCTTTCCTGCCAGAGGGGTTTGAGTTCTGGAGCCTGGACGTGAATGGAGGTGATGAGTGGAAGGTGGAGGATCTCTCTGGAGACCAGAGGAAGGAATTCCCCAATGACCAGGTCAAGAAATACTTCGTGACTTCTTATTAGTAAGATACAAGCTCAGGGGGATTTGGGGTTGGGGGTATCCCAAGCCACTGCACCCTGGGGTCTCTCCTGTTCTGGGAGGGCAGTCCTAGCCTCCCGGTACCCTAACGGTGAGCCCCAGCCCCGCCCACCCTCCGCCCACCCCCAGCACCTGCCTCAAGTCCCAGGTGGTGGACCTCAAGGCCGAAGGGTATTGGGAGGAGCTGATGGACACCACACGGCCGGACATCAAGGTCAAAGACTGGTGAGTGCCTGGGGCGAGGGTCTGGGGGGGGGGCCCTGCCAATCAGGCGCCCCACCCCCACCCTGCCCCCCATCTCCAAGGCCCTAATGGGCTTTCCATCTCTGCCTGCAGGTTCGCAGCCAGGCCAGACTGCGGGTCCAAATACCAGCTATGCGTTCAGCTCCTGTCATCAGCACATGCGCCTCTGGGGACCTTCCAGCCAGACCCAGCAACGATCCAGCAGAAGAGCGATGCCAAGTGGAGGGAGGTGTGTGGGGCTGGAAGGGGCAGGGGGCACATGGCCTAAGGCTGAAACTGTAGCCAGACAGGGCTGGGATCAGATCCCAGCTCTGCTGCTTCTTAACCTGGCTTCAGCTGCTCTGAGTTCTGAAAGACACCAGTGAAATGATGTTGGTAAAGCCATGTTCAGAAAGGTTGACTATTATTAATTACTAAGATTGGCTATTACTGTTATCTAGAACAGGAGTCAGCAAACGTTTTCTTAAAAGGCTAGATACAAACATTTTAGGCTTTGCAGACCTTACTGTCTCTGTGACAACTACTTAGCCCTTCATCTCTACTGTTGAGTTATGAAAGCCACCTTAATAAGTGGACATGTATGTGTTCCAGTAAAACTTTATTTACAAAAATAGGCAGTGGGCCCCTCGGCCATAGTTTGCCAACTCCTGATCTAGACCAGCACTGTCCAACAGAACTTTCTGCAATGCTAGAAATGGTCTGCACTATCCAGTATGGTAGCCAAGAGCCACATGTGACTATTGAACACTTAGTAAGTCCTAGTGTGACTGAGGAACTGAATTTTTCGTTTTATTTTCATTTAATTTTAATTTAAATAGCCACACATGCCCAGTGATGACTGTATCGGACATCCTTTGGCAGCTTGAGACGTTCTCTTCAGTTCCTCTGAGCTGCACTTAAGATAATCCTGTGCAGTGGACCCTCCAGGATTTTACTCCATTTTACAGATGAGGAAACTGAGGCATAGAGAGAGGAGTGTGGAGGTGGTCTATCCAAAATCACAGAGTTAGAACTAGAACTTAGTTCTGCTGACTCCTGGTCCAGCAGTAAGATATCAGCCCCTTCTTTGTTCCCCTGCCCCCTCAGGCTTTGCCACCCTCAGGGTCAGCTCCCCTGACCTCTCCCTCCCTCTGCCTGCCCCCTCCCAGGTCTCCCACACATTCTCCAACTACCCACCCGGCGTCCGCTACATCTGGTTTCAGCACGGCGGCGTGGACACTCACTACTGGGCCGGCTGGTACGGCCCGAGGGTCACCAACAGCAGCATCACCATCGGGCCCCCCGCTGCCCTGACACCCCCGAACCCCCGTCTGCAGAACCCTGACTGGTAAACTGCTATCAGACGAAGGCTGGGCTTGGGAGGGGGAGGTGAACCAGGCTCCCCCAGACCTCCTAGTTCATCCTTGCCCCTCCCCGGTCACCTCTTTGTGGAGCCTCTTGGTTCATGCAGCCCTCACATGCTGTGGGCAGCTAGCTCTCCGCCTGAGGGTTCAACCTGAATGATGGGAGGGAGGCCTGCGTGGGCGCCTTTAAGAGATGGGGCCCCTGAGGTTAGGGAGGTACAGGGTGTTCTCCAAAGCTCCTTCCCGACTCTGAGGGTGGATCTCTAAGCTCAGATGGCAACCTAGATCTGTGTTTCTAAACCTTCCCCTCCTGTGCCCTTTCTCCCTGTCTTTTTGGGGGCCCCTCAGAGCAGGGACAGTCATGAAGACATCTGGCAAGCCTGTGGCTGCCCTGGATAGTATAGATGCTGGGAGGAGACTTAAGTAGCTCAGACAGATCTGGGGTGGAAGGAGGGTTCTGCTGGCCTGTCCTCTGTCCCGTTCTCTGCTGCTCCCAAGCTCTCGCCCTGCCCACCTGCTCAGAGAGGTGGCTTTGGCCCAGAGGTTCAGGCCTGGCCTGAGATGGGCAGGCCCCAGGTGGGGTGGGGTCCACGCCAGGTCTGAACTGGCCTCACCATCAATAAAGCCCCAGAAGCCAGGTAGGGCGGGGTTGTCCCAAAGCCCCCCGGAATCCTGTGCATGGTAACCCAGGGCAAGTGGAGGTAGGACTGAGCTCTGATTCCGAGAGCTAGGATGTTATGAGCACAGGATGTGTGGGGTGGAGGTTTTCAAGGATCACCTGTCCACCTCCATGCCTAGGCCAGGTCCCCTGTGGTTTGGAGAGCATTCCAAGCCCCCACCCCACCCTTGGAACTGCCATTCCCAGGACCTCTCCTCCCCCCATCCCCCCACTGGAAGTGCTCTGATCCTGCCCCTGCTGCATGTGGCCAAATAAAAGGTTTTCCCAGCCCATCTTGTGCCCTGTGGTTTCTTGGGGGAAAGGGCAAATGTCATGGGAGGCCCCAGACCTGCAGAAGCTACAACATGTGTGGTTTCTGTCCATAGTACAGAGGGATTGACATTTCAGGAGCCAGACCATCACAGAACCAGGGTCCTGGGACAGACTCCTCAGTGAGCTGCAAACACCTCACCCCAGCAACCCTCCAGCCCTGCTAGCCTCCTCGGGGGCCCGGCCACAAGCCTGTGGGTGGGGGAGTGGGAATCTCTGAGCAGCCCCTGCATATGTACACCTCATGCTGGGCCAGCAGTGACATCCCAGGCACTGCTCGCTGGTGTTTCCCTTACTCTGCCAAGGGCTTTACTGACATTGAATGAAGCCGAGGCATTTAGAATGGTTGTCTGGCACACAGTAGATGCTTAATAAATACTGTTAAGTTTAATTATCTCACTCAACAGTGAGCTAGATTAGGGCCTCAGCTAGGGCAGGGACCACCACTCACTAGCTGAATGGCAAGTTAGCCAAGGACAGACAGCCTTCTTTGGAGAAGATGCAGCCCTACGGAGTTTATGTGACCTGGGCCAGTCTGCACAACCTTCTGTGGCTGCGCGAAGTACCAGGTGCTTGATAATTATCTGTTGAATGAAGAAAGGAATTAGTGAATTTAGTCCTGACCAAAAAATGAGGGGTTTTTTTTACCCTTGAGTAAATTGAGGCCTGCCCTTGGTCACACCCTAAGGAAGGTAGGAACCAGGCAAAGCCAGTCTTTTCATTTTCAGCAATCAACCTCCAGGAGGTGTTAGCGGGTTCAAAACTGGGAACTGGTCCTATCTCCCCTCCTCATTTAGGGAACAGGTTACGAGGGCTGAGTGGCCCGCGCAGGTGCAAAGGGCACGGGGGCATTGGTCAGGGGAAGCCTCGGGCTTCCCAGGAGGTAGGAAGAAGCAAAGGGAGGCGGAGATGGGTTCCGGCTACTGAGCAGCCCACCGCCTGGTGGGGAAGACTGAAAGGTTCAGGAAAAGAGCCCCTGGGGTTCCCGTAGCGCGGCCCGGGCCTAAGGCTCCCAGGCGCCTTTTCCTTTGGCTGGGAAGGAATCCTGCCGCTGGCCCTGCGAAGCAAAGGGCACGGCCCGCTGGGCCGGAGGGGGGCGGGCCAAGCACGGCGCATGACGCCGGCGCGGGACGGGGTGGGGCGAGAGCGGACGCCGCCGCGGAGGCCTCAGACTCCTGGCAGACGCGGAGCTCCGGTCCCGCTGGGGCGCTCCTCCCCACGCCCAGATCGCGGAAGAACAGGCAGGGGGGCGACAGGCGCGGGAGGGGCTTGAGCGTCCCGCTGCAAGGGAGCGGGGAGGGGAGACCTGGGGTAATAACCGAGCCCGCTGACACTACCTCGGGCGGGCTGGGACTCCGGGGACCGCAAGGCGGGGTTCTGGGTGGGTGGACGCGGGCTGGTCTCCCAGGTCTGGTTGCGCGCTGCGTGGGATCCCGCGTCGCCCAGCGCTGACTCCGACTCCGGGCCTGGCCGGCGGGCCGCCCAAAAACAGGCTCGCTCGGCGTCCTTGACCAACCCGGCCACGTCTCGCAGGTGACACCCCTGCCGGGGGACCTCCGGGCACGCTCGCGGGTCTTGGGGAGGACGCCTGACTTTGCCACCCCGCAGCTACTGCTTTCGAGAAATGGGGCATAGTAACAGTACTTTGAAGGGGTCGTTGGTGAGGGGGTCGACGGAGAAAAGGCCAACGTGTGACTCCAGGCCCGGCATGTGGGAATTCCAGTAAGTGCGGGGTGGGGACTTAGGGTTTCTACCCCACATGCCCCAGGATGGGCATCACTTCCGCCCCCACCCCACGCAGTCATGCTCGCGGCTAGGCCCACAGAAGACGGAAACTAAGGGTGAGGAAGTGAAACGGGCGACCAGAGCCAAAGACCGGACGTTTGCCTAGAATCTAGGCTCTAGATAGTGCCTTTAGAAGTTGCCAACATTTAAAAATTGACAGGTTTCATATTTTTAAAAAATGTTTAGAATTCCTCCTGAGACATCAGACGACATGAGCACAACAGGGTTTTTTTCCCCCATCATTATAGTATTTCTCACAACGTATAAGTCCCTTATATATCTGTTTGTTTTTTCTCTGCCATGCTAAAATGCCTCCCTTCCCCCCCCCCAACAGGAGCTTTGAGAAGACTGAACTGCTTTGTCCCAGTCTCTATAGAAAATGGGAAGTCTCCCCAGTGCCTCTATATGTGGGAGAAGAATGTTCCCTCCCTCTCACCCACCTGGGGGATTGGCTTAGTGATTGATCTAGATTACCAGAACCTCCCAAGCAAAATTCAGGCCTCAGTTGGTGGTGGCTGTGTACATTCTCCAAAACCCTTGTGCTATTCAGATGTCTGCGGGCAGGTAGCACTGTAACTCCTTTGGTTTGGTTTTGGTTTTGGTTTTGGTTTGCTCTTGCTCTGATAGAAGTGCCGGTAATGATGCCCTGTGCTAAATGCTTTACTTGTACTAACTCAGCCATCCCAGCCCTTCTGAGGTTGGGACAAGTATCACCTTTTTACAGCTTCCCAGTCAGTCACTGCAGGCCAGGATTCAAACCCAGGCGGTCTTGCTCCAGGGCTCTCAATCAGCTTTTCGGTTTCTGGGCATTTCAAAGTGGGCTGTGGCCTGACACTCACCCCAGAACTGGGGAGCGCTCTCCTCACTGGAGTGTTTTATCACATCTGGCTTCCAGGCCAAAGTAAACAATTGGGGGAGAGGAATTTGGATCCTCAGCACTAGCCCCACCACTTAATGAAATTGTGATATAGTCTGGGGGCGTAGTAAAGGTAAAATACTAAAAAATACTAAAAAGGTAAAAGCATTAAAATACCACCGCAAACCCTTACACAGCAGACAACAGCGTGGCCTCGGCAAAATCTTACTGTTCACCAGGCCCACCAACTTAAAATTAAGCTGTTATTTTTTAAATTTCTTTTAATGAAGGGAGAGACCTCTTAAAAAAATCAGTCCCTAAAGACTTCAATATTTTTATTGCACTCTTTCAAATGTGTGCGGCATGTGACCACTCCGTGTTATGAGGGCCTGCTATGTACTGGAAGGATGCTCAGATGCTCCCCGTCTGACCCCTCTTGTCTTACAGAAGCAGCAGAATTGGGAGTCCCTGGACCAGGTCCCTGGGAATCTGAGGGGTCCACCTCCTTGGTCAGGGCTCATAACCACTGTTGCCCCCCACAGATCTGTGTGTGCACCTGACCCCACCTCAGCCATGGCCCTGCTCAGTATCAATGAACTACCTGAGAACATCCTGCTGGAGGTATTCATACATGTGCCCGCCCGCCAACTGCTACGGAGCTGCCGCCCTGTCTGCAGCCTCTGGCGTGACATCATCGACCTCATGACCCTCTGGAAGCGCAAATGCCTGCAGGAGGGCTTCATCACCAAGGACTGGGATGAGCCTGTGGCCGACTGGAAGATCTTCTTCTTTCTGTGCAGCCTGCGCAGGAACCTTCTACAAAACCCATGTGCTGAAGGTGGGCTGCTCCCCTCCCTTTCTGGAACCTCAGGACCTTTGCACTTGCTATTCCCACACTACCTGGAGTGTTCTCTCAAACCCTAACACCCACCATGCTCGCTTGGTTCCTCTTCATTCTTGGAATCTCATTTCAGAGACCTGCCCTGGTCCATCTAAAATCAGTGTGCCCTACGCTATCATACCACCCCTATTTAGTTCCTTCATAGCGCTTTTCATATCCTATAATTACCTTATCTCTTTATTTTTTCCTTTGCCAAACTTCAAGTTCCAGGGGCCTAATGGATTTTGCGTGCCACTCTGCAGTGTCCACGACATAGCAAGTGCTCAAGAAACGTTTGTTGAATGACTGAACAAACTGCAGACCTACCTTTCCCCCTTTCGTTCAGTCCAAGCTGTCTAATGTTTATGGAGGGCTTCCTCTGTGCCAGGCACTAGTCTGAGGTCTTCACAAATGTAATATTCCTCCCATTATCCAGATGAAGAAAATGAGGATTTTGAGAGGTGACTGCAATCACATAACTTGAGTACCATTTAGCTCAAAATGTTCTCTTGTATTTGCCAGGGGTTTTCCCCCTCCATTTAGCACCTATGCACCAGGCCCCGTGCTTCTTGTTGGGGCTACAGCAGCAATTAAGAGGCTTCATTTGTACACTTAGAATCCCTTTCATGTCTATTTTTCTCTCTGTCCTCACGTGGATTCTGGGAGGTGGCCAAATAAGTAGGGTTGGCTCCATTTTATATGTGGGAGCATTAGGCCCCAAAATGAGTGTCTTCCCAAAAGATCCTGAACTGCCCAGCTGCCAAAGGCCCTCAGCCCCTCTCAGAGGCCCCATAGACAGTGCCCCAACACTCAAATCTCTATACCTCCCCCAGATTCCACTCAGAACTGCCCGGCTGGGCTGCCAGCTCAGCTCACACAGCCCTACAGAGCCAACCTGCAGCCTTGCCTTGCACTGGGCCCGGAGCCCTGAGCCTAGCAGTAGTCACCCCAGCCTTGCTCAGACCTCCCCTTGGGCCTGTACTTGGTGCAGCCCAGCTCCTGGTTTTCTGTTACTCCTCTGGTTCTCTACTGGGAGGACCCCAGGCACCTGGGGAATAGGTGAGGGCTTCCTGTAGAGGGAGCAAGGGAGTAATTTGGAAAAGCATCTCTAGTGATTGTTCTGGAAAGCCTTGGTGAGAAACACTGTTTTGTAAGGTCCTTCCAGCTCAGCCTGAAGGGGGAGACCAGAACCTGCTAAGCCAACCTGGTGGGGATCCTTTCCATGAATATGGGGTTACTGTAACACCACCAACCCAGAGGATGCCCAGTCTTCCAGTTATTATCCCTCCCACCCTGGGCAGAGGTTTCCATGACCCGCCAACAAACCTATAACTTGGTCCTCTGGTCCCCTCAGATTTCAGTTACACAGTTAAGATGTCAGGGGGATATCAGTCTTAAAATAAACAGTCAGCGTTGGCGGAAACTCACATTAGCCATTAAGAGCACAAGTACCATCACAGGCCCTTCATGATTTAATGTTTAGAGAACTGAAATGGGTATTTTCCAGAGCCCTTCGGCAACACGGAAGTGAGGCAAGGTTGGTTTCAGATTTCTCGTAATACCCCTTTTTTTCCAGCTTCATGTTAGGAGTCAAGTTAGTCAGGGAGAAGGTGCCAGATCAGAGCTGATATTGCTGGGGACAGGCGGGAATGTGCTGGAAGAGGGGAGCTTGGTAGGGGCACTCCAAACGCAGCTGGGGTGCACTTGAGATCTGAGCATGAGTCCTGCCTTTCACCCTCCCTCCCAAGACCAGGTGAGGAGGACCAGCCTGTACATTTATACAGGAAGTTCACCTCGATTTGTTTTTCCTAGAGGAGATGAAATCCTGGAACCTCGACTTCAATGGGGGCCACCGCTGGAAGGTGGAGAGCCTTCCTGGAGCCCATGGGACAGATTTCCCCGACCTGAGAGTCAAGAAGTATTTTGTCACATCCTTTGAGTAAGACAAACTGAACCAAGCAGGCTGCGGCGGGGGGAGCGGCAGGGATGGTCAAGACACTTGTTGCAAATCCCACGCCTACGTCAGGACTTCTCTGTGAAGCTTGAGGGAGCTGATGTTTCAAAACCAGCTGTCTGCTGCTTCCGGGAGCAGGAATCAACTTGGTGGCTGGGTTTATAGGCAGTGGGGATGGAAATCCATGTAAGGAGGCTGGGAGCTTGTGGGGCAAGCTCCTTAGGGTAAGTCCAGGGTGTCTATGGGCTGTTCCTAATCCAGGAACATTGAGTCCACAGGGATCAGATGCTGCCCAGGCACAAGGCGGTCCAACTCCCTGCATGTTTCTCATGGGCCTGCACTGAGGGAGGAGCCAGAGTTAGCACCAGCCAGTGGCTGTCCTGCAGCAGTCAGGGGACACTGCTGGGTCCCCTGAACCACCTCCCTGGGTCCAGGCCATGAAGAGCACGCCTGGGAATGCAAGCCTGTCCTTCTGCTCCCCAGGTTATGCCTCAAGTCCCAGCTGATTGACCTTAAAGCTGAGGGCTACTGGGAGGAGCTACTGGACAGGTTCCGGCCTGACATCGTAGTCACAGACTGGTGAGTGGGGCCATGGGCCGAGTCCCACTCTGCATCCTTCCCTCTTCTCTTCCTGAGAAGGCCTGGAGGGAGTGCCCACTCTGTGCCCAGCAGTGTCCTAGGGCAAGGACAGCCCCACCCTGTTGACAGACCCAGCACTTAACCAACAGTACCTCCCAGCCCCCCACCCCCACCCCCACCCCGACCCTAGGTCAGCAGGAGACATTAACCAGTTTACAGATGGAGAGACTGAGGCTTGTCATGAACAGGCACTGGAGTAACAGGGACCACCAAGACCCAGCCTTCCTGAACTTCACAGATGCTCACATGCCTTATCTGCCTCCCCTGCTCCTTCTCACCATTCATCCACAACTTTCTCAAGCTCCTTCTCTGTGCAGCTGTGCCAGGCTCTGCCTTGGCCCAGAAGCAGGACCCCAGTTCCAGCCAGGCCCCAGGGCCACCACTCTGAGGGTGGAGGGGTGGGGTTGGAGGGGCGTGCAGCACTGGGGGAGCAGGGCTGCCTTGGTGAGCTATGCCAGTCCCCACCACACAGACCACCCCTTGAATCTCCCCTTGAATCCACAGCCTGGTCCATTGTAATGTAGATGACACAGCTCTGACAGCCCTGGCCTTTATCTCTGAAGAGCCTTTTGCTTTTTAAGGTGATACCTTCAGAGATACCCAAAAGGGTTGCCCCTTTACTCAGATGGGGTAACAGAGGACCAGCACAGATAGATTGCTTACCCTGGGACACAAGGAACACGGACGGTGGGCCTCATGGGCAGTGCAGGGACATGAAACTCGGAGCTAACGTTTGTAGGCCTGCTGCCTGCCCACCTCCAGGGCCACCCTCTGTCTTGGGGCACACAGTCCTGAGCCCCACCCTCCCCCAGGTTCGCTCCCAGAGCAGACTGTGGCTGTACCTACAACATCAAAGTAAAGCTGCTCTCAGCCGACTACATCGTTTTGAAATCCTTCGAGCCCCCACCTGTGAACATCCAACAGTGGAGCGATACCAAGTGGACAGAGGTGAGGCCTCACCTGCTTGCATGCCACCCACTTTTCCCAGGGCCAGCATGGCAGGCAACAAGGGGTGGTCCCACGGCCCGGAGTGCCCCCAGCTCTCGTGCCTGCCTTCTGGCCTGGGCAGCTCTTCCCTGAGGACCCGGCCCCTTCCTTTTCCTCTCCATAGGAGTGGCCACCCCATCTCATCCCCTCCCCAGTCCTGGTGGTCACTTCCTCTCCTCTCTCCAGGTCTCCCACACCTTCTCGGATTACCCTCCAGGTGTCCGCTACATCCACTTCCAGCACGGAGGCAAAGACACCCAGTACTGGGCAGGCTGGTACGGGCCCCGCGTCACCAACAGCAGCGTCACCGTCAGCTCTAAGATGGCCAGGAGCCCGGCGCCCTCCACCTCTCAGCCTGAGACCACGCAGGGATAGGAGGCAGCTGCCCGCTTCGCCTCCCCACGTCGTCTACAGGCCTTTCTGATCAGTCTGTCAGATGACAGCCATTTCTCCGTCTTCTGTCTGGGTTAGCCTAGTACGGAAGTCCCCTCCAGGCCAGAGCTGAGCCTACAGTGGGCAGTGAGAGCCCCTGTCCCAAGACCTGCCCAGTTCCAACTTTGGCAAACCCACCAGTTTGTGGTAACTTACTGTCACATAGCTGACATTTTGTTAATGTTTTTAATAAAACCAGCCTGGGGTTGGGTCTAGGAGTGGCGGGTAAGGGGTCCCTGGCACTTTGGTAGAGAACCAGCCCCTTACCCAGATTAATTTGGCTGTACCTGCCCCAGTTAGTGACAGCCCAGGTCAGCCCTTGGGGCGCCTTTATTGAAACAACTCACAGGACTGTATTTGAGACAGACAGTGTTGGCCGGTTGAACCCCAAAAGGCTGAGAAATCGAGGTCCCAGCACCCTTCCTGCCCTCCTGAGGAGAATTCCTCCATGAAGGCAACCAGACCTGAGTAGCCCCGGGCTGGAGGGTGGGCAGTCCATACACAGAGGCAATAAGAGCACTTGGAATCAGGGTGGCCCTGCAGCGCTGCCCTAGGCTGGGGGCCCCCAAAGTCCGACAACTGTGGCATCCGTGCGGAGCGGAAACACCCTCAGCTGCTTTTATGAGCGCGTTCTTCCACGTACAGCTGCATCTAATGGACAGGAACAAACAGCCATGTCAGGTGGACAGTAAGGGTCCTGGCAGGGTGGGGTTACCTGGCCACAGCCTGGCGTTAAGGGAAAGGACAGAGGTGGAAGGAGAGAGCTGCACGCCAGGCATTCCTTGGTAGTTTCCCCTAGCCTTGTCCTCAAGGCCTCAGCAAACCCTGAATAAAGCTTACCCGGTTCCCATACGCTCACCTTTAATATGTCGGACGTCATGGTTTTTAGGGGTATCAGCCGGGGGTCATGCATGTGGACGTCCTGCTCATCTGCCAGAATCCAGGGGAAGTCCTAGGAAAGACATCACGGGAGGTGAAAGGGGGCGGAGCCTGGCCCGCTCTCACTTTGCTGCCCCTCCCCTCCAGAGCTGGGGTCCTCAGACTTGGAGGAGCATCTGTCCTCGGGAAGTACAGAGTCCCAGGCTCTTCTACTGGACAGGCCAAGTCTCTAGGTTGGAGCTGGGCTGGGACCCTAAGTGATTAACAAGCCCCAAGCACAGATTCTGAAACATGGTCAAGGACCCCCTCCCTGGAGGACCCCCACTGAGCTGGCAGCCCCAGCATCTGGCCCCACCTGCCTCTCTGGGCTGAGTGCCCAGATGGAGCAACGAGAACCTACTGGGTGCCAGGCACTGCCGTAAGCAACGTGAGTACACTGGCCATGGGTAGCACCCCTGCCCACTCAGAACCGGGGGCCTTCCTGCTATCTCCCAGCCCACCCACCCAGACCAGTCTCATCTCACCTTGATGACCTGGATCTTCTCCATGTTTCGAGTCGCAGCTTCCCTCGTGTGCACCAAGACTGTGAAGGTGCAGCCTGAAGAAACAAGAGTTTGGTCAAGGCTGGGCCACACCAAGCCTGTCCCTGGGCACAGTGTCTTCCCACCTCCCTAGCTGGTTTGGCAGCCCCCCAGAGCAGAGTGTAAGCCAGTGTTAAGACAAAACAGTCAACAGGGAGACTGAAGCCAGGGTGGAGTCAATCAGGGAAGCTTCCTGGAGGAGGTGGACTTTCAGAGGGGTTCAAAAACGCAGGAAGGAAGAGACAAGGCTCAGTAGAGCCAAACAGGGACTTGAAAACACAGACCAACCCAAGGTAGCCATGGAAACACCCAGAGAAGAGGGGGAGGGGTGAGCACACCTGGGGGGTTGTGGTCCAGGACAGCATCACATACACTGATCTTCAGGATGAAGGCTCGGAGCAGCTGTTCCACATGAGACAGCAGGGAGTCTGAGCTGGGAGGAGGGGAGGAGGGTCCCCCATCACACTGGTGCCCCTGTCCCACCAGCAGGCAATCAACCTGGAAGCCGACCTAGTGCTTCTGAGAGTTGGCTTCTAAGGGCCCAGCTACCTATCTTGTTGGCACGGTAAAAACCACCTGGGGAGTTTAAAAACAATGCAGAGCCCCATCCCAGACTTAATTTAGGATGGGGGAAAAGGGATGTAGGGAGTCCCCAGAGGTGGTTCTAATGTGCTATTGTTCTCCCAGTCTGAGAACCAGGACCCCAAGCCAGAAGGGAAAGGGTTTGCCCAAGGCCACATGGCAAGTGGGGACAGATTCTATTGCCCTGACCTCACCACAGGAAGCTAACAGCTAACTAGCCAACACATCTGCCCAAGGTCAACTTCTAATTGACTGGACTGCACACTTGACTGGGAAGCCAGGACACTGAGTCTGTCCTGGCTCTGCCGCCATTTGGGTGACCCTTGTAGCTCATGTCATGTCTCTGGACCTTGGTGTCCCCATCTATAAGGTGAGGTCGGGACTAGCCATTCACCCATGCTGTGGTTTTTCCAGCTGTGACACAGGAGGCTCTCTGTGTAACCTGTGTGATGTTCACAGAGACCACTTGGTGGCCAGCTGTGACTCAGCCACTCACAGGCCCTGGTAGGTTGGCACACCTTGCATTTCTCCTCTCAGACCTTTACCAAGGTACTCAGGAGCTGCTTTAAAGGGGTAAAGGCGAGAGCATTACTACAGGCCTCACACCAGTTAGCAGGTGGACAGGTTACCTGATGGATAGCAGCGGGGGCTGGGTGATTTCAAAGACGAATTTCTCCACTGGGCGGTGCTCTTTGTCCAAAATGACCACCACCACTTTCTCCACATCATTCTGCAAGGACAGGAATCCCCCTTCTCCAGAACCCCTCTCCCACCCTCACCCCTACCCCCTCCCTGCCCAAAGATGAGGAAGGGCGCACTCACAGCCCCGCTCAGCCTCGAGGCTGAGGGTCTCTGAGAGCCCAGAGAGAGGTTTGAGAAGTTCAAGTAGGCACCCCCAGACATGAGTGGTACAGGCTGAGGGGAGAGAAGGCCTGGGCCCCGTGAAGGTCCCGGACGTCTCAGAGCAGGACAAACAGGAGGAGGAAACCCTGAGAGGCCAAGCCCAGACAGAACTTGGAGATGGGGGAGAGAAAAACAGATGTGAGAAGCATCCAGAACTGGGGTCGTCTCCAGGGTACAGGGAATAGGCCTCTGGATGTTAGAGTCATGGACCCTGCATGGTCTCAGCATCACCCCACCCCATTGGGGGCCTGGTGCCCTCACCTTCTCCAGGAGTGGCTTGACACAGTGCAGTGTGTCCTGGATATACTGGTTCAGCTCCGGGTGGCAGGACATCTGCACACAATGCCATGATGGCTAGTGAGGCCCGCAGCACCAATGGGGAAACCACCTGACACCCCCTCCAGGAGCCCAAGGCCGCATCTGCCTCTCGAGAGAGGCCCAAAGGTTCCCAAAGGGGTCCCCCTCCCCATCATGGTGCTAAGAACTCTGAATTATCCACAGAGGGAGAGAAGTTAGAAGAATTCAGTCTCAACATTAGCACTTAATATAGACTCGGGGTTCCTAACGTAGGGTCCATGGGCTCCTCCAGAGCCTGAGAAGTCCCTAAATTGTGTGTATTTGGGCATATGGGCATTTTTCCAGAGAAAGGATCCAGAAATTTAATCAATTTTCAAAAGTTAAGAATCTAGAACTAAGGAACGGTGTGGTTGCAGGCAAATTCTAATACTTCACCGAGCTTTAATAAACTTCATCTGTGAAGATCTCAAAAAAGTGAGGATTAAGTGAGTTAAGTACCTAGTACACAGTGGGTGCTCAGTTAAGTGCCGTTTCTTTTTTTCCCTGTACGTCCTTTAAGCTTCCACCATCTTCCGGTATTCATTCATTCTAATGTTTACTGAGTGCCTTCTAAGGGACAGGCACTTCTAGAGACCGAGGATAGAGTAGCTTATGGCTTTGTCTGCTTTTTAATCTACAATTAGGGTAACTGAGGGCAGAGCGAAGGTGCCTGAGGTTTCCCCAAACCAACCATTCAGTAGCATCAAGAACTCTTAAAATATAACCATGACCCAGAGGACAACTGTGATGGAGGGACTGGTCGGTCACTTATGAAGGGGAACTCCCAGTTCAGAAGGGATGGAAGGAACCGCTGCAGTGAGGGCACAGGGGACTGTCAGGCCATCAGCCGCTGCCAGCACCTGGAAGGCAAGGCCAGGCCGCTGGAGAATGAGGGGGCTGAGCCTGAAGGTGGCGGAGAGCTAAAAAAAAAAAAAAAATCCACTCTACCCACTGTGACTTGGGAGTGGCCCCGGCAGGGTTGTGGGGGCTCACCTGGACAGGCACGTTGTACTTCTTACGCTTCTGGAAGATGCCCACCGGGTAGACCTCGCGCACGTAGAGGATCAGGTGGACCGCCACCTCCAGGAACTCGCAAAGCACGTCGGCCACCACTGAGAGGGGGCAGAACGCGGTGCGCTCGCGGAAGCTCACCGGCCCAGGCCCCTCCTGTCCCCCACCCCGGGTTGGCAGGTCCAGCCTCCCTACCTTGGCCAAAGTTGAGGTCCTGTCGCGTGAGCGTGGTCATCCTTCACGCCACCTGAGGGATGGAACAGTACTGGGGGCGAGTTCCAAAAGCCCAGGCAGCAGCAGGGCCCGCCCGCCTCCTCAGCCCCTCCACTCCGCCTTTGAGGGGTATCGGGGCAGGACCACCCCACCGCTGCACACAGAAGCAAGGGAGCTGGGGTTGGACCCCCCACGTTGGCATCCTAGCTCAGGGGCATCAGCTGCACCTCGATGAGGCTTTTGTCCACTGGCCCCCTCACCAGCTGTCTCAGACGGGGCGGGGGTAGGAAAGGCCAGAGCTGGGAGGGCAAAAAGGGCCGCAAAGGGAACAGCTGGATGTGCAGGGCCGGGAGCGTAGAGCGGGACCCGCGGGAAGCGAAACTAGGCTGGAATAAGGCTCCACTCCCTGCCTGGCTGAGTCCCTCCCCGAAGGGAACCCCGCCTCTCTCCCCTCCCCTGGTACCGGCTCTTGGCCTCGGTTCCGGGCTCGGGGCCCGGCCCCGGCGCGGGGAACCACCAACCCGACCCCTTGCGCCTCCACCTCAATCCGCGCGGCCAGGGCGCCGTTCTCGTGACGTCCGCCGCGCTGCGGCGGGTCCTAGCGCCAGCTTCAGGCCACGCCCACTCCTGCGCTCGGCCCCCGCGGGGCTGGGGAGGGGCGGAGCCTGGCCTGGGCGCTGGAGAGCCCAGGGCCGGAGTGGGCGGAGACTGCGCCGCGCTGCCTTTCAATCTTGGATGGGCGCGAAAAAAAACTTTAGTCTCCACGTCAGATCGCTACGAATCTTCTCCCCCGCCCCCCCCGCCCCGGCCATTTCTCTCGCTTTAGGAGGCGCGGTACTGGGGTGGGTACGGGTTGCTGGTGAGGACCAGGTGGAAGTCACAGCTGGGAACTAGGGACAGCGACATCTATTGCTAGCTTCTGAGTCACCATCCCCGAACTCAGCTGCCTGCCCAACCGAAAGCGAATCCGCCGGCTTCGGGGCGGGGACGGGAGGACGAGGGTGCACCGGAGACGTCCCCACCCCCACCCGGAATCTATACAGCCTGGCTTTACTCCCTAAGAAGATAAAACCTCCCGGGCCCACGCATCATAACAATAGTTGGCCTTTATAAAGGTCCATCCGTGTGCCAGGCACTGAGTTAAGTGTGTCCGTGGATTATCTTACTAAATCCTCAAACAATTCTACCGGGCAGTTACTATAATTGTCCCCATTTTACGGATGAACCAAGTGAGGTTCAGAGGGGTGAAGTAAAATGTCCGAGTCACACAACTATTGAAGGGCGGGCAGAGGTGTCTTCTGCCACTACATTTTACAGCTCTGGAGTTGTCCCCCTCCCCATGGACTGTGGAAGGGCTGAGAGACCCCTGGGAAATAACAATATCAATATTAAAATAATTACTAGCGTGGATTGAGCACTTATATGTCAAGCACTGATTTCTTTAGTTCCCTCATTAACTCTAGGAGCTAAGCACCCATTTTACAGACCCACTGTATAGGTGGTAAAACAGGTTCAGAGATGTTCCCTAATTTGCCAAAACCACACATTTGGAATACAAACCCAGGTCTGACTCCAGGGCTTCAACTTATTTTCAGCACCTTTATTTTACAGGTGGGAAAACTAAAATTAGAGAAGCGGCTGTGAGTTATGGGAAACAAGTCCAAACCAGAAGCCAGGGGACCTTGTCGCTGACCTCCAAGGACATTAAGAGCTTGTTAGGAGTCAAGTCTATCTGTGAGTACACAGATCTAGCCAGAAATGTATGGAGGCCTGCACCACCCTTCACCCCAGATGCCTTCAAACCTTCATTTACACACTTCCGTTGGGGTGGGGACAGAGGAGGGAATACGAGCCCCGGCCCATTAAGCCAGGAATGCCAGCAGAGCAGGTCACAAAAGCAGCCCTTGGAAATCTGCATCAGAATCCCTGGGGAGCCCATTAAATACTGGGAACCCAGGCCTCCCTGACCTATCAAATCAGTCAGGGTGCACAGCATGGTACTAGCCCTTTAACAAGCTCCCCAGGGGCCCTGATGCCCCAGAATTGCCACAAGCAATTTGGGCTGTTCCCTAGAAAAGTCTGCATTTCACAAAACTGCAACACTTAACCCAGAGAGATGGATGATTCAGGAACTGATGCACCTGGCAGCACATTTTGGGCACAGCAACTCTTCTCAAGACTTGGGAACCCTGCCCTCATCATGCCATGCAGGAGAGGACCACTGTCACACAGTCAGCCAAGCAGCTCACTGGCTTGTAGATGGTGTCCCCTGGCTCCTAGAGATTTAATCACTGTGATGCTTTGGCTACTGGGGAAAGCGAGGGTCCTTCTGTGCCTCTCTCTGGAGGCTGCTCAAGCAGATTTTTTCATTGGTGACAGGAAGTGGCAGTCCTAGGAGGGGCAATTCTTTGTAAAAGGTACCCTAGGATTGGGGCCGGGGGTGGAGATGCTCAGAGCCCAGCTACTCCTGTAGGGTGACCTCCAGGGCACAGAATGAGCAGCATGGGGGCTCACGCCAGGCCCTCCTTCCATGGGCCCCCAGCCCTCTGCCCTGAGAAGACTTAGTGCCAGCCGCCCAAAGATCTCCTGACACACAGAGCTGAAGAACTTCAGAGGAACCTTGGAGGATTTACAATCCAACATGCACATTCTTCCAGTGGGGAAACTGAGGTCCCAACAACTTTTGTTTAATACTGGTATTTCCACCTTGTCAAAATCCGTAGATAAAAATGCCTGGGCTTGGGGCTTTGGGTTCAGAGCCAGCCACAAACAGAGGAAAGCAGGTGTGGAGACAGATCTGATCCCCAACCCCAAAAAGGCCTTGTCTCCTCATTTGTGAAATAAACAGGTTAGACAGATGTTCCCTAAACCTCTGATGTCCTCAGGTTCCATGGGAACCAAGAAGCTGGAGATGGGGCAGAGGCAGGGGGCCATAGGGGAGCTCTATGAAAATTCATTTGCCATTTCCATCCACAGGGCTCTGGGCATCTGGTTTTTCATATCTTAATCTCATCAGCATGATGGATGGTCGGGGGACCCAGATTACATTATGGGGTTAATTTATTACATTTTTGAATACCCATTTGCTTGGAGACTGTTTTTCAAAGTTATTTGCATATTTTTCACCATAACGACAATATGTAGGAGGGTGTCTGGGAGGGAAGGATGGATGTTTAGGAGGAGAGAGAGCTTATTTGCCAACTGGTGCAGGTCCCTGAGGGTCTGCAATGAGGACAGAGAGAAAATAACTCCCAAGAAACATTTAAATTGAAACTAAGAGAAGGCATGATGCAAGAAAGTCTTGCAAACAAAAGCCCAACAAAGACTAAGGCCTGCTTGGGCAAAAGAGGGTTCCTGAGGTTCTTTGAACAAGCACACAATGAGTGAACTGGGGACAACAAAAGGCAACAGTATCCAGACCCTTAAGATGCTTTCAGAGCCACTCCCATGCCCACCAGGCTGATGGCAGGCCCCATCATTGATCCCACCCCTACCTAAGGTTCCCAGGACACCAAACACAGGAAGGTGAGGGGAGCCACAGAGTCAGCCACATATAGCCTGGTGACAATCCCAAGGATACCCCAATGCTCAGGGACCCAGTCTGTTGAAACAACCCCTAGGAAGAGACCCAATCTCATTCATTCTTTTAGTCTAGCTCCTCACCCAGAGCCTGGCCAAATCCAGGTTTTCAATGAGTGTGTGTTAAATGAGTGAATGAAATAATGGAGGAATGAAACAATGGCAGACAGTGGCTCATGGCCACTTGCCTGACTTGAATCCTAACAGTCTGGATGAGAACCAAAGACCTCTGATTCCAGTGCTTGGGCTATAGGTGGTGGTGTGTAGTTTTCTTGCCTGTAAAATTCCAATTCCATAAGGTTGAGCAAGGAGTAAATGAAATAATGTTTGTAAAAATATAAAGTGCACAATGCCTGGCACATAAATGCTCGACAATGGCTGTTACGACAATGATATTAAAATCTACACACACTATCTAAGCTTCTAAGGCAAACACCCTGGACCAGCCATCATGCTTTTCAAAACTCCATCAAAAACACCCTTAGCTCCCCGCACCCCATTTTCATTTCTCAAGGCAGCAGGCAGCCCCCCCCCCGCAGGTGCCCTACAGGAGGACATACATCCTCATGGCCCAAGATGCCTAAACAAGGGATTACCAACAGCTCCTCTCCTCCCTCATCCCTTTTGGAGTGAGGCCCAACCTGCACAGCTGCCCCAGATCCTTGGGTCTACTGCTGACCTTGGACTCAAGCCAAAGTCCTGACCTTAAGCCAGTTATACTGGGCACTTCCACCACTTCAGCCAGGGCAGAGCCCAACATGCCTTTCCTCCCTGGGGTTCAGCTGACTCCCCAGCGTTGCTGACCCCTTGTTGGTCAGGGAGACCTTACAGATCATCCATCACTTCCTAAACTTTGAACCTCTACCAGATGCACAAAGACAAGAAATGTCTTCCACAATAATTTCAGGAGTTCTCAGGCACTCTGAAGTCATCCTGGACCACAGGGGGAAAATCCTTGATCCAGCTCAACTGCCACTTTTTAAAAATAGCTGCGTTATTAAGATAGAATTCACAAACCGTAAAGTTCACCCTTTTTAAAGTGTACAATCAATGGTTTTTAGTATCATCACAAAGTTGTCGATCAATCACCACTGCCTAATTCCAGAACATTTTCATCACTCCAAAAAAGAAAGACTCCACACACATTAGTAGTTACTCCCGTAGTCTCCCCGCTTCCCAGCCCCTGGCAACCAGTAGTCTACTTTCTGTCTCTATAGACTTGTCTATTCTGAACACTTCATATAAACTCAATCATACAATATGTGGCCTTTTATGTCTTAGA